TTCTCTATTCTCATTTATATATGTGATTGTTGGATAAATAGAGACTTTCAGGTCCCCGCAAATTACACTGTACAGCCGGCTGTATCGTGCACACGGTACAGCCGGCTGTACCGTGCACACGGTACAGCCGGCTTTTTAGTTCGCAAATCGCATGTCGCTGGGCTTCCATCGCAGTCTTTTAGTTCGCAAATCGCAGGTTGGTGGGCTTCCATCGCAGTTCGCTGGGCTTCCATCGCAGTTCGTAGGGCTTCCATCGTAGTTCACACTTTCACAGATCGTTCTCGTTGCTCGTCCTTCGCTTGCCGCCTACACAGATGACGATTCTCAACAGCCGCAACTCTCCAGCATGAGCGCAACACCTCAAACTCCTGCTTGAGCGGCGGCTCCTGCGCAGCAGCCCTAGTTGCTTCTTCTCCCTCTTTCTTGCTTTGGACTCTTCCTTTTTCTCGTTTTCTTACTTAAGTTTGGTGAATGAGCTTGGTCACTTAAGAAATCTAAGTTATACGTAATTCTTCAGATGTGAGCATAATAAATGAAATTATGAGCATAGTAGACATTTCAAATGAGTTTTATGAATAGTCATTTTATAATTTATGTATACTCATCTGATATTAGTGTAATATTCATTTTAAAATGTCATATTCATTCATATTTCAAATGAGTTTTATGTTAAACTCAAATGAGTATAACACCCAAAATGAATGAGCACACACAAATGAACTTTTTAATTATTTGATACTACTAATTTGTAAGTTATGTATGCTCATTTTGGACTAAAACTTTTTAATAAACGAAAAAATAATAAACAGAATGTAATATACGAGGAATGAAGCATATATCACTGATGCTCACCGTTAGGCTCCTATTACTCAAAAGAAGAGACTCGGTGCTCATCACAATTGATTCAATGCTCATTTAAAGAGAATTTATGATTTTCACCAAAATTACAAGTTTGCCACCGGCTGTACGGCTGGCACCGTACAACCGGGTGTACTGTATACGCTTCCTTCAGGTCCCATATCACTCATGTATCCTCTCTTCCTTGTTTCTTTATTTTATTCCTATTTCTTCTCCTTTTTACATTTTCCCTTCATTTTCCTTCTTTCTTCACGGGTTAGCTTTGCATTACTGATAGATTAATAGATTAATAATATTTAATTATTTCTTTGTAATTATCCTTTAGTGGTTTACTTGTACTTATCTATACCTTGCAAATAGGAGAGCTACACATGTTCCCTAAATATATATAAATGCATCGATCGGCTCTTACAAGGATTAAGCCTTATTTGCCAAGCATTTTTCATGGTATCAGAGCTATCAATCATAAAAGATTGATTTGATCCTTCTTGTTTTTCAGCATTCTACCATCGTGTCATCCTTTTCCACCAGCAACCTTGTACCTTCGGATACTACTCCGCGGCTAATCTCCTTAAATGCCTTTCCCAAATTCCACTCAAACTCTTCAAAGATGGCTCTAATTATTCCTCATGGAAATCTCAGTTAATCAATCTTCTCTTTGGTTAAGATCTCTTAGGCTATGTTGATGGTACTAATCCAAATCCTGTCTACAATAATTCAAATTACAATTTTTGGACCTGTCAGGATCGTCTTGTTCTCTTTGCTTTCCAATCTATGGTGATGGTAAACATTTGGCCCATCATCAATTTGTGCGCCACTTCGCCGATGCTTGGCAAAAACTTGAATCTAATTTTGCCAATACATCCACCACGCGAATGTTATCTCTTCTCTCCACCCTTATGAACAACAAAAAAGGCTGGAAAAATAATCACCGAGTAGTGGTAAACGTAGTGGTAGTGGTACTGGTGGTAGTGGTAGTGGTTGTAGGAGTGATAGTAGTGGTAGTGATAGTGGTAACAGCATTGACAGCGACATTGACAACAGTAGCAGCCGCAACACGAGAAGCGGCACCATGATAGCACGAGCAGCAACAACAGTAGCAACACTAGCAGTGGTCGCACAACCACCACCACAAACAATTGCTACTACTAATACTACTACTACTACTACTATTGTTGCAGCTAATGCTGCTACTTCATGTCCTAACTACCCTTCACTACACACCACTACCAGTTATAATACGTTTTATTACAAATTATAGTAATAAGTATACATAATTACTACTCCCTCCGTCTCGGATAGAACTTGACGTTGCTTTTGGCACAGTATTTTAGGAGCTCAATTGATAGAAAAACAAATGTCTTGCACGCCCTTTGACTTTTGAGGGGAATTAATGTTATCCACTCAAATGTATAAAGTGAGTGAGTAGTGAAGGGTAGTTAGGACATTTAATGTAAAAGGAGTTACTTTTAAAGGAAACATAAAGGAAACGTAAAGGAGTTGTACATTAGTATAACGTAATTTATATCTATTTAGTTGTTGACTATCTAATTATTATACTTCATTATAGCAATTCTAACTACTAATTATACTAATAGTTTTTGGGAATTACTTTATTTGAATATTTAGCTGAATAATCTTATTACATCATACTTACTCTATTCTAAAGAATAGCTAAACTTTTAAATATAAAAAATAAATATGTATGATTATTATATCTTTAATATTTTAATTAAATATAGATAAATACTATCAATGAAATAAAAAATAATATAAAAAAATTAAAAATTAAAAATTAAAAACAAAAATCGGAGAGCCGAACCGGAAACGATACCGCCGGTTCACAACCGGATAGTGACATGTTTCACTGCAATAGTGACATGTTTAACGCCAACAGTGACATTCAAAAGTGACATAAATATTTGATAGTGACATATAATAGTGACATATAATATGATAGTGACATAAAAGATACATTGACATCATGTTTTTCCAAATATGTAACATTCTTATTCACATTTTTGTCCTTTTGTAAAAACGGTCATAGTTTTTGAAATCAATTTTAATTTGGTAATATTCAGGGAAAAAGCCCTTAGAAAAACTGAAAGGAAATCTATTTCTAGAGTTTGTACAAAAACAATATCTATTTGTTTTGAAAGAAACAATATCAGCACAAATATGGATATTGAGATAAAATTTTGAAATTATTCAAAAAAAAGAAAATTTTTTGAAATAAATGCAGTATAGAATCGGAATGAAAAATTCTAATTGTACACAATTGGCACACTTTCCTGTGTATACAGAAATCTCGTATAAAAAAACAACAATTGTCTCTGTGCACATGTTAGTGTAAAATATACACAAAATGTGTACAAATCCTAGTTACATGTGTAAATAGACAACTCGTTTAGGAAAAACAAGGATAACGCAGGTAAAGAGAATAGTGTGCGATTTTGTGTACTAAGAAGGCATAGACTAGGGATGGGCACGGTCCGGTCAGTTCGGGTAATTGATAAATTTTCAAGAACCGCCTGTTCCATTTAACGGGCAGGTTCGGTCCGGGTATACCAAGTTTCGAAATAGGAACCGGACCTTACCCGCCCCATTTGAAACGGGCCGGTTCGGTCCGAGTCCTCGGTTTTTTTTTTGTAAAAAAATATATGACTATGCAAACAAAGTTTCTAGTAAGTTATAAAGTTTTCAAATTAATTACGTATTAATGTAATCATAATATTGTAAAAATCCAAAATAAAAGTATAAGACAACATTTTAAATTAGTTACAAAATATCGAACCATAAATCTATAAATTACACAATACACAACCACCTTAATTAAAATGTTAATGATCATTCAAAAACTAATTAAAAAGATACCACCATTAATTCAAAAGAAATTAAACTAGTTACAATACATATTTGTCTACGAAAACAATTTAAAGCTTATTAAATCTCCAAGGATAAGTAAAATTAAGATGATTAGTCGGCAATCAGTGTTGGGGTCGGTGATTTCCCAATCGCTCGACGATTCGTGTACATGGCGAGGAATAGGCGACGCATCTTCATCGAAACTGCAGTGTCTTGCGCAAGACAGATTGCGGAGCTTTGGTGTTGGTGATCATTAGTCGTCTTTATTTCGGCAGTTTTTGGCTCGAGAATGGAGGCAAGTTTTGAGAATAATTCCGGCAGCTTGGCTCGAGATGGGTGTTTCCTTGGTGTCGAATGGGAAGGAATAGCAAAATTCGTGCTGTCCAAGAAAAATGGCGAGGAAGAGGATGGAGTATTAGCGATTCTCCCCCCTCATGAGCCGTTGCCATGGATGGAGGATTCAGAAGAAGTGGATGCAAAAGAGTTCGAACGGTTGAAGTTTTACTTTTTTTGCTTATTTCTTTTCAAACTTAATTTGCTTGTTGTTTGTGTCTTTATTTCGTCGTACAATAAGGGGGAAGGGTATGTGTGTTGTTTTTGTTTAGCAAGTAGAATTTTGGTTGGAGATAATCAGGTTGATTCAACCGCTAATAGCCTCTATGCTCTCATTGTTTCAACGATTAGTCTCGCTCTTTTCGGGATGGACTATTCTATGTATGGTCATGACGTGGGAAGACCAATGGGCTTTGATATTGTTTGGAGAGGGGAGATTTAAGTCTTGATACATGTTTGTTACTCTTGTATGGTTTATTTAATATAAGTTTGTTTCCTTTCAAAAAAAAAATGGATATGTCACACTTCAAAAAAAATTAAAGAAAGAAGGTTTGATGCATTTGGAATAGAGAATCGAGGAAAATAATTCAGAAGTTTAATTATATATACAGACATGGAAACTATTTTTAATATAGACTAAGAAGTTTCTTAAATTGGAAGTCTTTGTCTGGACACAAGAACATGAAGAGCTTTTGTGTGTTGTTAGTATATTATATTATACAAGTATTAAATATACTAGAGCTTATTAAAATAATACTACGTATTTTAAACCGGTTCGGTCCGGGTATCCGTTTTTTCAAAGTTTAAGATCCGTTCGGTTCCTAAGTTTTTCAGTACCCGACCCGCCCCGAACCATTTGAGTTTTCTAAAAATAGGACCCGACCCGAACCGGTGTTACCCGGCCCGAACCGTGGTTCTTATACCCGTTTGCCCACCCCTAACATAGACTATAATCAAATGAGCATATACCGAAGATTCAGAAACTCTTCTCAGGGGGTACAGAATACTACCGGTGAACAGCACAAAGTGAGGGTAAACAAAATCACAGTCTGCCAAAAGTTTCTCAATCTCTTTGCAACTCCGATTTTTCATCAAATACTTGTAGTTTGAAACTCAAACACACTATTCCGTGGCAACTGCGCTGCCTTCTCGTCAGTCGACTCGACACCCTAACTCTCTTACCCAATTTCAGGTAAATTTTGATTATCAATTTACCAAAGTTCTGATCTTTAAGCTTATTATATTTATTTGGTTACTTAGTTAGTTCTAAATTTCCTGGTGATCTGAATGGGAATGGGTGTTCCACGTTTCAATCTTTATTTAAAGTGGTTGATTGTTTGGGTCTTTATTGTAGCACAGCTATATTTGGAATTGATGTTTGGCCTGTTGATGATAAATTTTGGTGAATGCTATTTTAGTCTAAAGGGGTTTCTTCTCTGTTGAAATATATATCGGTGTATAGTAGTATAACTGTGCCTTCGGGGACCAAAAGAAAAGTATAGTAGTATAACCGTTCAAGTATGGAATTGGTGAATAATGTAAAGGATCAGTGCTCCTATGAACGTTAAGAACACTTTTGACTATCACTGCGTATAAAGGAATGCCAGATTTTTGGAATATGAGGTTCGTCAGGTTACGTCAAGTTCTTTTCGTTCACGGGATGTCATATACTTGTGTGGTCAAGTACAAACTCGTAATAGCCTCAAATATCACCGATACAATACCTAAGGAAAGGGTGGTGATCATACTCCAACCTTATAATTCAAACATGACTGTAATGCTACATCTCAAAAGGTAAACAGATTACTGGAACCAAGTAAAGGTTATGTTACTAGACTGAACATTACATTCTATGAACCAAATGTCCCTTGGTGCAGTAGCCACTACTCCATACTCTGTCTCAGACTCTCAGGTAAACAATTTACAGAGTAAATTGTTGTTACACTCATTGAAAGCATTGTGAAATTAGGCCGCCTTGAGATGTGAGAAAAGGTTAATGCTGAGGGCGTGAATTTGTTCAACTTCTTTTTAACCCTTTTCCCTATTTCTTGCGAATTACAGAACAGGAGGGGGGTTGTGAATATAAGGATAAAAGGAATAAAACTTTCGTCTCTCGTCATGTACAAGCAGTCAACAGGTTGTAGGAGCAACAGATCAAGAAAGTTTAAGGCGAAGCATGTTCTTCAAATCTCTGTGTTGCTAGCTCTATGCTTCTGGTTTATTTACCAAGCCAAACAGTCACACGGAAAAAAGACTCAGTCTGGCGTTGGAAATGATCCGAAGATGTCACAAAAGACTGGCAATGTCCATGAAGCACCAAAATTAGGAAGAAAAGACCTTCCCCAATCAAACGAAACAGATAAGAGTAATAAGATGGGTGACAATGAAGTGGAAGATGGTGAAATAGAGAGAAATGAAAATGAAGCACAACCTGAGAAGCTGTATAAAGCTGATGATGCTTCGAGCGAAGTAACTCACATGATTATAAGTGGTCAAATTTCTGGGGAAAGCTCTACCTTGCCAAACACAACTTTGGAGCCAAGCAGAGGTAGTTCCTCTTTGGTTGTCAAGAATATTCTCTTAGATTCCTTAATCGAAACAGTATCATCTTCTGTTCCGGAGAAAACCATACAAGGTCATCCTAGGTTCCCAACACAGGACGACAGGTGGTCCTCAACAATGGCTCATGAAATACGCGGAGTAGGGTTTGAGGCCTCAAATAACGAGCATATAGGTGAAGTTCCAGATCTTATTGACACCGAAGATGTAGAAGAAATACAAACAGAAGAGAGTATTAACACGGAAGATAGTGCAGCTAAATGATACTACGTACACGGTAAAACGCTCTCACCTCTTTAATCATGCTCAAATTGTTGTTTGTGTTGTTGTTGTTTTTATTGCGCAAATGGGTTACAATTATTGCTTTGACACATCTCCATACAAACTACCAAATATTTACTAATATAGTAATGTATCCTATGTGTTTATAATTGTAAAAATAAATGTACTATTTTCCGTTGGAGTATTATGAGTTTACTTCATTTGGAATAACTTGGGCAGGAATAGTTTATATTTGTTTCTAAATAGATATTCCATATAACATGTTAAATTTTACACTATTTACATGCTCTAAATGATAGAGACACTTGCATTATCAAGTTCCTCAAGCGGGCTTTTTTGTCTGATTATCTCATTCCTTAAGCAGTCTTTTTTTGTATGCCCACACATCCAATGCAACTTATGCATCTATGCTACACTCATCTTTTGAATGTGACATTGTTTCACCACCCAACACTATATGTTATACTTTAATGCAGGCCTAATTACAGTTCAATAAAATTTACCCTTTAGTCTAGTCGGAATACCTCGATCGCATAGACATCTTGATGCACTCTTCCGTTTCATCCTTCCAGCTTTGATTCTATAGGATACATCTCCATCTAATTCATCATCCTTCTGAATTATGGAGCTCAAGTAACGGAACATATCACACACCGGTATCTCCTTACCATCAAGAGTAATCCTACCGTTACTACTACTTCTACCTCCACCAAACTTGCACTCCATATACTCAGTATTGCTTTGACTCAGTCTGAAACCCTTGGTTTCCAATGTTTGTCGCTATATTTCCAACTTTGCTTCAACACTTGATTGCATCTCATCAAACAATACAATATCGTCGGCAAAAATCAAGCATCATGGTATATCTTCTTGAATTGACTTGGTAAGTTCATCCATGACTATAACAAATAAGAAAGGACTCATAGTTAATCCTCGGTGCACTTCGGTAGTAATAAAGAGCTCTGCGGTCCACCTACACTAGTACGTACACTTGTAGTATGAGCTTCATACATATCCATGATGATACTGATATACTTATGTGATATGCCTTTGTAATTAAGACCCTCTAAAGGACTTCAAGATACCCTATCATAAACCTTTTCTAATTCAATTAACACCAAATGCAGATCCTTTTTAGTGTCCATACTTCTCTGCAACTTGTCTAAGAAGGTGAATGACCTCAGTTGTTGAGCGTCTAAACATAAAACCAAACTGATTCTCTGATATTTCCTCACTTTTTCAAAGTCTTTATTCAAGCACTCGCTCCTAAAGTTTCATGATGTGACTCATAAGCTTAAATAGGGGAATGGGAGCACTCTCCTGCCAACTTACTCGCATTTTTTTGTTTCTCCAAATCATGTTGAAGAAACATGTAAGCCACTCGATACATTTCTCTCCCAAACTTCTCTAAGCCTCGATTAGTATGCCATCTGGACCCATTTCTTTCTTCCACCCCATCTTGCTCAAAGCCTCTTTAACTTCTGTCGTTTGAATCCTTCTCACAAAGTCCCTGTCATGCCTCGGACCTCACCGAACACACTAGCAATCGCCGTACAATCTAGACAAGTCAACCTCAATCAAGCTTACTCAAACTATACAAGGCATCGTGAATATCATTCACACATAAGTCATCCATAAATAAGCATAATGTAAAATCATTCAATACGCATCGAAAATTAATAAGTTTGAGCACAAGCCACACAGGGCAAATCATAGGGATTCATGCCTCCAAATAGTTTAAAGTATCAAGATTTCCATGAGCATGTTTATTATCGTTTAGAAAACATAATGGAGGAAGCATGAACCAAGTCTTCTCTCCAAGTGTTCACCCGATCAACGGAAAAGCAAGAAAGCCCTAGCCTCAACCTGAAATGGTAGTGGCATGCCCCTCAAAGGGGTCAGTACTTTCCTGTAACAAGAAAATATTGGTGTGGATGACATCTAATAGATATACAACAAGTATATCATTCACACATAAGTCATCCATAAATAAGCATAATGTAAAACCATTCAATACGCATCGAAAATCAATAAGTTTGAGCACAATCCACACAGGGAAAATCATAGGGATGCATGCCTCCAAATAGTTTAAAGTATCAAGATTTCCATGAGCATGTTTATTATGGTTTAGAAAACATAATGGAGGAAGCATGAACCAAGTCTTCTTTCCAAGTGTTCACCCGATCAACTGGAACAGCAAGAAAGCCCTAGCCTCAACCTGAAATGGTGGTGGGATGTCCCTCGAAGGGGTTAGTACTTTCTTGTAACAATAAAATATTGGTGTGGATGACATCTAATAGATATACAATAAGTATTTCAAACACAAGACCCTCAAATAGGGTGATAGTATAATCTAGGTTGTAATCCCAAGTTACCCCGTTTGAAAATATACTTACTTTATATAAAGTCAAGTAGTCGGCCCATGGGCCCATGCTCGCTTTGAAACCACCTTCCCTATTCCTCGTGACTACTAGTCACGACAATCATAGAGTTCAACCCTAGTACATCTAATGCAAATTTGTCTGATCATCTCATTCATTTGTCTGATTATCTCATTGCTCAAACGGTCTTTTTTTGTATGCCCACACATCCAATGCAACTTACGCATCTCTGCTACACTCATTTTTTGAATGTGACATTGTTTTACCACCCAACACTATACGTTATACATTAATGCAGACCTAATGGTTGTTCAATAAAATTTACCCTTTAGCCTAGTTAGCATACCTTGATCGCATAGACATCTTGATGCACTCTTCCATTTCATCCATCCAGCTTTGGTTCTATGGGATAAATCTCTGTTTAATTCACCATCCTTCTGAATTATGGAGCTCAAGTAATGGAACATATCACACACCGGTATCTCCTTACCATCAAGAGTAATCCCACCGTTACTACTTGTTAGATCATTATTTTATTGTGTTCAAAATTAATTGTAATTTAATTAATGAGTCTTTGTAATTAGCTAGATTAGTTGAGAGAGAATTAGGCCCAAATTAAGTGCTCTAATCAAGTCCACACGCCTAAGCTGTGCATTCTAATTGTAATAGGGCTGTTCGAAATCCTCCCTATAAATACAGGCAGAAGGGGTTTGAAACTGCTCTAAGTATTATGTTCCGCATATTATTCTCGTAGAGCACCTAGATAGATAAATTCTCTCTCAACATATTGTTCGTGTACTATTCATCACCGAATCATCATTATGAATACACGGTATATGTTGATGTTGAATTATTCTTCTACTGCATAAATTCTGTTTATTTTTCTTAGAATTATTCGACTGTTGATCTAGGCATAGTTCACACACACTACTACTTTTACCACCACCAAAATTGCACTCCATATACTCAGTATTGCTTTGACTCAGTTTGAAACCCTTGGTCTCCAATGTTTGTGCCAAGACAAATAATGCAAGTGTCAAAACTTTGTCCGCCATCGATACTCACAAAACCATCACGACTTGGGCCCGCATACCCGTTGAGGTCGCCTCGTATGACCAGCTTCTCTCCTTTTGGCACTCGTCGCACCACTTCCTGAAGATGTTTCCAAAAGTGTTGAGTGATAGATGCATCCAATCCACTTGTAGTGCATATGAACTTACCATGGACATGATTTCATCCCCTATTACCAACTTAATGCTCATGATGCGGTCGTTCTTCCTAAAGACTTCCACCACACCCTCAACACAATCATGCGCCACAACAATGCCTACTCCATTTCTGTTCTCTATTTCCCCGAATACCACAACATAAAACCTACACGATTAATCTCACATGCATTTTCTTCAACCGACTTAGTTTCTTGCACGCACATTGTGCTGATAAGTCTGATATTCCTCTCCTCATAACCTCAGATACCTCAGATGATCTTCCCGTAAGAGAAGTAGAGAACCAACATTCAACGTCCCAAAACGCAATCTAGCACCCTTCATTCTTTTCTTCACACCACATCGACCCCCACCACGCGCTTGCTTATTTGACACCATCCCCAAACATTGGAGTGGCGCGTCGTTTCTGAGCAACGACTTAGCAACCATAGCATTCTCTTCTTTTCACCCTTGCATATTTGACACCACCCTAGACAGAGGGATGACGCACCGTTTACGAGCGACAACCTAGCTATACCGATATTCCTATTTCGATTCATGTCATGTGATGTGACTAAGTGATACTGTTCGCTGTCACGCGCCTACCACAACACCCGTCCTTTATCTTGGGTTGGGACATACATGATACCAAAAATGATCTTATGGTGGAGTTATTTTATTTATTACTGTATTAGAGATTAAATTTTAAAAAAATACTCATTAATTGCCTATCATTTTAAATTGTCAAAATCTCAATATTTAATTTTTTTACTCATAAAGAATGAAATATATCAATAGTCAATGTTATGTATTGACAAACGTGAAAATGAAGACATTGTAACTAAAAAAGAACGTGAGAAGTATGTAGTTAATCTACTATTTTGTTATGAGCGTATATCGGTATGATGTGATCTATTCCTATTGAAATGTGTACCGTAGTAATATGTAACTTCTCTTTTATTTCCTCATCCTGCTTTAGTACTCTTTGGTCAACATTTTCCACAAACTTATTTTTTTCGACATTCTGAGTCCTATCATCTCAAAGATGAGCAATTATACGAATATCTTTCTCTTTCTTTAGAGATCAATATTTCATACATCTCCTTGTTCATTTCCCCTCTCACTTCCTTCACGGGTCTTTTGGATTTTCTTTTAGCCACCTTTTACTTCTCAATTCAACAAAATGTCCCTTTTAGTGGAAACTTACCTTTAAATTCCCCAACATTTTCTTTGTATTTTGTTAAAGGTCTCCATTGATATTCTACATCCTCTGCATTTGAGTCATTATCAAGACACCATACATCTACACCAAGAATGTTGTGTGCAAAGCTTTGTTGGAGACCTTCAATATTCCACCACTTTATCTTTGACTCCATTTGTCACCTAATTTGAGTTACTATGTTGAGTAAGTACACTCTTATCCAGGACGATTTTATCTATGTTGTTAGTTCTCCAAGTACTAAGAAACTTTCGGTTTAGGTACTATTCGCTTTACTTCTATAGATCACAAGGAGAGATTTTATTTTCTTAAACCACACATTGATTCTAGCCAACTCTAACAACATAGTTTAGGACATAGATTGTTTTAGCACTAGAAATAAAACAAGAAAAAACATTGTGTAATAAGTATCCAAATGATAGGCTTGGGGGACTGCCACAGCCTATTCAGTACTTCAATAAGGTGTACAAGAGGAGAAATAAGTAGTATTATTACTTAACTATATAAT